AGAGAGAGCGCAGTAACCGACTCAGTACTAATTCAATTTCGAACTAGGGGTCAGAGTGCGTGTTTACTTGAAAGGTGCGGATTTCGTCTCATTTCAGAGGTTCCAGAAACAGCTGGAATTTTGATACGTAAAGCAAATATCTGGTAACAAAGGATGGCCGAGGGTTCTCACCTACAAAGGATATGCAGAGCACCACTCGAAGACTCAGACTCTTGAGGACTCTTCGTCCATCCGTGTCCCAACCTTTTCCCAACGTACTCTACTCGGCACTCCTCGAAAACCTTTACAAACACGCAATAAATCTAATATATCTGCGTAAGCCCAGGATGCGTAGTTGATATCAACCTAATGACTAACCAATACTATCATTTTTACTCGAAACTATCTATAGTGACCGGTATATGAAATTAACCAGCTTGAGCTCTGTTGATCAAATCTTCACCTACCACTGTAAACATCATTCAACTTCCCCAATTTGGCAGAGGAAAATGATTAATAGTACAGTTTTTCATAAAAGAATCTAATACTGCACACCTGGGCCATTTCACCCACACTACATATGTGCAGCAAGCTAAGTCAATAGTTGTCTATCATGTACATACAGGTCTGCTCAGTTTTTTGCCCATCAGAATAAATAAATCACATGTTATACCACATGTAACTTTTTCGACTTTGAAATTTTTTTCCCCAAAATTCACTACATATAATTCTGTAGCTGCTCAGGCAATATTGTTGAAGCTATGTCTTAGTAACAGAAAGTGTGTTACATGCAGTTGAGTTGATGAGATCACACCAAAACATTGAGTCAGTGTATGTAGTCAATCTTTTGGAAGCTTTTTTCAATCTGAAAGAAGTTACAGCATGTATTACATATGAATAACTTGTCCTGATGAGCAGATAACTGAGCAGAACTGTATGTACATGATAACCACATATTCACTGAGCCTGCTACACATATGTAGTGTGGGTGTTATGGCTCAGGTGTGGAGTGATAGACCATTTTATGACAAATCATACTCCCAATCATTTTTCCCTGCCCACTTGGGGAACCCGAATAATGTCTGCAGTGTACGTAGATCATCGTGTGGCCTTTGAGTCATAGTGTTTGATAGCCGCCCACCTCATGGGAGCGCTTTGCACAAAGCAATGGCAATGATAAAAAAGTATATAGGGATTGGTGGAGACAAACACAAGCATAAGGCCAGTAATATATACACATTGAATTCTAACCATCTCAACACCTGCGTAGACCGCTGATATGTTCTGGCATCACCAATAATTTAACTTGGAGTCATATCGACAGCGACTCTCTGGATCAAGCAAAACTTTAGCGGCCGCCGAAATCTGAAGGGAACGGAAATTTTCCAGCATCAGAATGACACGGAAAAGCGGAATGATTCAGATTCAAGCTTGAAATGAAATCACCTGTTGTGCTACCCCAGTGTGACCACCCTTGTCTGGATGAAAATACAACATACACAGTTTCCAACGGCTTTTGATCACTGCGGCATCCGCCGTTCGCGTAAGAGCCAGCTTCTGGTTCGAGGATCAGATCAAGATCAGCATGAATTTCGGGGCAGGAATATCCAGTCGATATGCACTCACCTCGTAAAGCGTCCTTTGCCTTTGTTCTTGGGCTTGATGGCTGCAAGATGTGGGGTCACACTGTTGTTTATTAATGGCACGCCTGTAAAGCTGTGACATCCAAAGATAATTCTTATCAAGAGTGTCAATGTAGAACCGACTTTCAGGATTCCAAACTTGGTTTAGGATTTCTTCGCCCTCCTTCAGTTGGCCAATGTGCAAATACGCCTCAACAAGCAGTAGATGAATTCTTATAATTTGTTCCTTCATTTTTTTATCAATTACCTTTTGCTCTTCTGCTATTCGTTTTCGCCCCCCTTCCAAAAGTGAAATGGCATCGTGTGATTTTTCTTGAGATAAAAAATCCTCCGCATACATACATATCAGATTCAAAAGTTCATTGGTGGTGAATTCATCTTTACGAACGTCTGATTCAGACTCCTTTTGAAAATAAAAAATTGAAATTCACTTGTTAGTTATCTGACGCAAGAGCGCATTACCAAAGAAAACATCCACCAACATAGTTCGCATGAGAGTGAGAGATGCTCTGTAACCTATCTTCAACTTCGAAATACAAATGGGATAGTTCCAGATAGTTTGGATGTGTGGAAGGTATGGCTAGGCTTGAATCTGGGCGCCAAGCTTGTTGGAGAGTTTCGAAGGCCGCTTGCGGGCGCTTCAGCTTCAAGTAGCATCGTGTAAGATTGAAACACGAAAGAATCCATCCCGTATGGGGGCCTCTATTGGTCGCACCATGTTTGCTCTCACATCTTGACATTTCGTCGGAATACAAATTTAGGAGTTGCTGATATGTTTGAACAGAGTCTTCATACATTCCTTTAGAGTCGGCGAATTCAGCTGCATCCATGAGTTGATTGATGTGGTCCTGATCCTGTAAGGATGGGTCAGGCGGATTTCGGTGAGACTTGGAAGAAGAAAAGGTATCAAAGAGATGCGAAAATTAGTGGGAGCAGTTACGAGGTTCATAGATATCACTAACTCACCATTCTTCCCGCTTTACTACATTTGATCGGGCGGTAGACTTGGGTTGTTGCTTCGCTTGATTCGGTGTCCGGTAAACACTGATATGATCTCTTTGGACGGGACGACGAGGGGGCTTCGCTCGCTTCGATTCGTAATAAGCGCTCGTGGGATGTCTTCGAACGCAATGGTATACTCATTTCAAACATGCCAGTTCTACTAAATTTTACGATGTGGGCTGAATGGTTTTGGTGTATGCGTAGTCTACGGGCCACAAATGTGATAGGAAGATACATATCTACAAGGAACAAGATCTTATATAGGATGTGAGTGAACCAGGTCGAGTGAACTATGGATACTCACTTCGTTCATCTGAGCTGACGATTCAGTTCCATTCAGGCCTCCTCGAAGGAGGCGCTGAGTCACGCGATTGACGGAGATCACTTCATCACAGGTTGCGTAGCTTCAATTGATACTGAACACATTTAGCCCACACACTCTCGCTCAGGTGCTTGCTCAACAGCTTTACGCCTTGGTTTGCCTACCCATTTTGACTCCTTCTCAGGGATCACGAACCTGGTCTTGGCCTCGGTCATTACAGACCCAGCTTGTTGGATTATAAAACTGTGAGCGTTGATGCTCAAATCCAAAGCTGTACTGAGCTTAGCTCAGCCACCGCGGTAACAAGGGATGTGATCCCGGCACATCTACCACTTATCTGCTGAGCTGCGCGTACGCAAAGGGCGCCCCTTTCGAATTTTCTCACATATTGTATCATTTGGCTGCTCAACCGAGTTGCCAATGTCATATATATATATATATATATATCCTCAATAGTAAAACGTATCGACCATCACTCTTCATTTGACAATCATACTTATCGGCCATCACTCTTCGACATCTGAGATATCTGCTCATTGGCGGTGTATTTTACAAAACCAACTTGCTGGCAAATATCCCGTCATCGCTCTAAATCGTTCGCCTCACAAAAGCAAACTATATAAAAGTTTAAGATTTCAATCGTGATGTCAACTTCGGAAATGCGTCACAAAATGCCGCCGCCCGAGAAGGGCAATCCCCACAGTTTTGGTCGTAGGGCCGGGTTCCGAGTGAGAGCAGCTGTTGATCAACTTTCGCGACATGCCCCCGCGATGCATGTTCTCTTATTAATACTCCTGTCCATAAGTCAGTACAATTTGTTTGCTTGGTCTTTGTATACGTCTTGAAGGCTGATTCGACACATATTTTCCAGCAACATGTGGGCGGACACACTTTCTTGAACAACAGTTAAAAAAAGTCGAGGGGGACCTCTTCGACATGCGAGTACAGCTGGTTCAACCTTGCACCAGCCTCTCGGCTTCATGGGAGGGTCTCAAATACAAGCAACGAGGCACATTCAATGATCCAGACGCGGTAAACATAGCAGAGAGTCTCCATCCCTCTATCATCTCGCCAGCATTTGTGAAGAAAAATCTTCATCACGTAGATGAAGGAGCTGCAGATACCAGGTTCGAAGACGTACACGCGGGAACGGATGGTGTTCAGGTTTGGCCGGAAGATCTCATAGGCGATGTCGAGAAAGGACTCCAAACAACCACGCAAGAAGATCCTAACCAAGTGCAAACCGGGTTACGAACGAGCTATATGGCGCGAGAAGCTTTCAAACAGTGTATCAAGGATCGGGACGGTCCCAGAGATTTTGCTTTTATGCACACCGGCGGCTACGTGATTCAATCCTTGACTTCAAAGTCTTATATTGCCTCTAAGAGTTGGCGAAGGCATCTGCCTTGGTCGAAAACGTCACGCTCATCCAACACGAACACGCAGACACCCGGAACTGCACTGAGTGGCGATGGTTCAGCTGGAAACTGTTGGGCTTTCGTTGGATCAGTAGGGCAGCTTGGGATAGGGCTCAGTAGTACCATTGATATTACAGCCTTGTCGATTGAGCACATCGGAGCGCAATTAGCACAGAATGACATCACATCTGCACCTAGAGAGTTCGAACTTTGGGGGGTGAGTGATGACGGCGATACAGTAGCCAGCACGACTCCGTTGTTCCAAGGGGTATACAACATCTCCAGCCCCAGTTCAACCTTACAAACATTCGAACTCAACAAATCACATAAGTTCGCCTACAGCAAGGTGCTGTTTAGAGTCACCTCAAACCATGGGAACCCGGGGTTCACTTGCATTTATCGGGTGAGGATACACGGCCAGTCAATTTTGTGAAATCATAAATGTAGTTCCTTTTCTTTATTCTAGTTTTACCTTGTCAATACTTTTCTTTCAATGATACGTACCACAACCTAGTTTGTAAAGCTGTGCACTCTTTGTGTAGATGAACTCCGTAAAAAGTAACAAAGTCCGTGAAAGGGATGCGCGAAAATAAGAATATTCCAGCCATTCGAAATGAAACCTGCGCAGGGTTCCTGCTGTAGGAAGAGCAGTTTGACTACGTAGGGGCACATTTTCTGAGGGAATTTCAAGCGAGCTTTGTATAACGATTTGCCTTTGAAGAAACGACACGTGTCGTCTTCTACCTTTTCTCTTAATTTGAGTTTACGTCAGTATTCTGCAATCTAGCAAATGGATTCTGCTCTCACTTGCCAAGTCATCATGTGTTAGGTTCTGCTTAGTCGACTCGATACGTCAAGTCTTGGAAAATACAGAGATCGGAGTTGGAGAAGAATTAGGAATATTTGGTTCTTTGGTATTGAAGTCATTCAACCAAGTTACGTTGGCAAACCGTCAACAACAACAAGGGGAATTTGTGCTTCACAGTCCGCACAAAACCCAAAAGCTACCTTTCAATTTTTCGAACCGATCTGCTTTATCCAGTTCTGCCACTGCTCCGCGCCCTCTAGAATCAGATCGACTCACCCGAAACGTTTTGATCCGAGGCTGCTCCACACGAATCCTGTTGAACATATATCACACCAACTAATGGCGACGCGTAAAGGAGGCAACAACATCGCTTACAAGTGCCCTCATCTTCCTACGTGTTTTGATCCCACCAGCAAAGGAAAACAGTGCCAAGATTGCAACGCTTTGAACCTGACCGGTGTTCAAAAACACACTCTCAACACCAGGCGTCACAATTTTTGCAGCCCTGAATGCCCTGTCTACAAATGTCAGTTTCGCCAAACAGGAAAGGTCGTTTTCACCAATACTGATGATGTGAATCATAAATAGTAACCGATCTCAGTCATGTTAAATTTGCAAGAAAAAGATCCCCAGGCCAAATCGATCTACCTGTCCAATCGACTTCGACTCCAATTCCTTCATCCGAGCGGTCTTCTTCACCCTCCCCGCTTGCAAGAAAGACTTCACGCGACCAAAGGCAAAGCTCATGCGAGACGGAATCACCATCCGAGAACCACAGTAGAGCCGGGTCTACTTTTCGACGGCGCTCTGTCCGTAACACTTCTACATGTACTCTTATCCAAGATGAATTACCCTGTACAGGTGCAATGCTCAAAAAGCCAGATAAGGTCACCTTTCTAGACTCGCATCATGACTCGTCAAAATACTCTTGCTCTGCCCGCGAAACCAGTCAACATTCCGACACTGCTATCCCGAGCACTTCTACACGTACCACCTTCAAAAAGCACGTCATCAGCGAAGCATCACCCGGGGTTCCAAGTCTGCATCATGACCAGTTAAACAAAGTCACGGCTCGCAGTATGGAACCAGATTCGAACCGCCTACCGGTGTTCAGCAATGCTCAAAACTTGAAGGCGACAAACATGGCGGTGAGCGAACTCTCAACGCGGGATCCCGTCCTTCCAATCACATATTCTCGTTATGGTGAATCTTTCCGCCTTGATTGGAAGCTTGGAGTACTTTTAGTTGCATTCTTGTTCAATCTTTTCTGGTTTATCAAGGCATGTTTTGATGACTGAAAGGAGGAGGATCTAGATGTGTAGCGTCAAAGACAGTGTAGAATTGTACTTGGTCTGTTTGTTTGGTAAGCTTGTCGTACACATAGTTCTTTGTTGTTTGTGCTGTCTGTCACTTCACTTAAAAAGTCGATGTTTTTTTGACTCTACTTATAAATATATGGGCGGGTCCTATATTGATTGCTTCAACCAACATAATTGTATATTCAACTAAGTTCTCTTGTACCAAGACGTGCATCTTTTGTGTCCTTTAAAAATCTTTGTCATCATTTTGCAGATCACATATCGTTCATCCAAATCGGAAAATCCATTCGTCTCGAATCCAAAAAATTCAAAGGCTTTATTGTCACTATTAGTACTGTCCACAGACTCTTCGGGAGAGTTTGATGTGCAGTGGTACCTCTGATATCCTCTTTTCAAGCCTGGGCTCTTTTTTTTGCTCCCGTCCATCTTTCCCAAGAGAGCTCTCATGTGCCATTGGGCACCTGAGCCATCGAACTCGAATGAAAGAGCGAAGTTAGTTATAGCTCAGGTTGAAGACTAAAGTCATCATTTGATGTGACTACTTAAATTCGAACTTGAAGAAGTTCAAGTTCAAATCTTGAATTCGAAGTCAAAATGTTGAAGCTCATATCTTGAATTTGAACTGCTCGAACTGGGAGGTTCGACCTCGGATATTTGAGGTTCAGTGGAACCTGAAGATCTTCTCCCGACCTCTGATTTCCCCGCCGAATCCCGCGATGACCATAATGGCTTCATGATGATATTATACACCCAACTCGAACGTTTTACAAAAAGACTGCCATCAATGACGGTGACCCAAACTTACGTTAAGAAGGGGGAACATCAAAGCATTATAAGGAATTCATCTTTTTGAATCGACTTTGGACATCAAAGTATAAAGTTTTTAACGAGGTACAGTGTGTTGATGCTGGTTCGCGGACACTGCGTATAGAATGGGGAGCTTGAGGTTGATGATCTGAGCGCACATGAATAATACTGACACTATATAGGGATGTAGCTCTCTTACCTTGTATTGTACCTCTTTCATCTATCAGCCTGTGGAAGACGTTTTGTTTGCTATGTTTCCCAAGAGTGCTTGTCGATTTTTCCTCCGTAATCTTCAGACATGAAATGCATAGATGAGATTTGTTCCTGAATTGGGAAGCTTTGGTTAACATACCGGGGATCCATCGTAACCGCCACGTATGAGTCGACGTGGGGGTTACGGTTTGGGCTTCTGTTTTTCAGAAGTATATATACGTATTACGCTCGAATCACGCTGTGCAAATCTATCTCAAATGATCTCACACTCTTGATATGATGGAACGTTACGCGCGTTCAAGCAAATATTTCGTTGACTTGCATCTTCGAATGAGGGGCGGTGACACGGTGATAGACCTCTATTATTATTTTCCAAGAGGGCACCAATTATCGTTGGAGAGTGGACGTAGCCGCGTCAGAAGCACG